ATAGTGGTGGACTCAGAGAGTGAGTCACACGCTAAGCACACAGACTTTCTAAAACTATTTACCAACGGTCGAAACGAAGAGTTCCCGAATATTGGGTTCAACCCACAGGGATTATACACAAGGGCCACACACCAAACTCGGAGTTCCCAAAAGGTTCTCAGAGTTCTGACCCTCTGTGCATCCGAGTCTCCTAGAGTCTCGGGACCAGAGCGAGAACTGTACGCCAAGGGGTGAAAGTTTCACCGACTTCACAACAGTGGCGGCTAGTGCCACCAGTTCTGCAGGAATGTCTGGTCCAGCAAGGCCTTCTGCGGAGCGAGGAAGCGCAGCTAGATCAGCATCGACCCAAGCACGACTACCAGTCAGTTCTGCCGATAATACTCCGAACCACACGAATGCCTTGATCTTCGTGTTAAATTGGCTGGCGGTGGAAATAGCTGGCCACGCATGTTGACCAATAAAGAGTAACTTCCGAATGATGACAGCGGCGACAATTAGGCTTCACAGATTCACGGTAAGTGTCTTACGATAGGCTAGAACCAAGCATGGGCGGCGCAATTGGCGTTCTGCCACCTCCCAAGACTTCAATGCATCCGGTTTACTGCCCGCCTGAATACCCAGGTAGCGATCGTAATGCCCTCGTTCTTGGTATTGAAGTGGGGTGGGCAGAGGCGGTAGGCTCGAAGGTCCTACCGGATGTAGTGCCATCACCACCGTCTTGGACTGGTTAAGCTGAAGTCCAAACGCAGCCCCGAAAGCTTCGTTCAGATGAAGTAGAGTACTAATTTAGACGGGGGACCGCAATTAAACCGCAGTGTCGTCTGCATATCCAGCCACTCGGAGTTCCTCGTCCCCTATCTGTGACTTTAGCGTAATGCCGCGTAGCAGTGGATGCGAGTCTATGGCACGGTAAAGAGCATCAAGAGCCAGGATGAAGAGCAGTGGTGACAATGGGCACCCTTGGCGGATACCACTCGTCATAGGAATTGTGCGGGAATGAAACCCGTTCGCCAAGAAGCTGGCCGTCGTACCGTTATGAAGAGCCTTGACTGCCTTGATGAAGGTTGGTGGGTAACCGTGGCGTTCCAGAGCTTGAACAAGAAAGTCCCGAGCTAGCCAATCGTAAGTTTTACTTAAGTCAAGCATGACCACGACGCCCTCAGCTTGCGGACGGTCTGAAGCCAACGTCTGTTGTGCTGTCTCCGGCTTATGGAGTGCCTCGTGGATCGTTCGACCAGGGACAAATCCGTGTTAGTTTGGATGAATCCGCTCGGGTAACCTCTCCCTCAGCCTTGTATCCATAATGCGTGTCAACACCTTGTAGTCCGTGTTTAACAACGCACTAAGGCAGTAGTTTAGCGCATCCTTGAGATCACCTTTTTTTAAACATAAGATAACCGGTTCGAGGAATGAAGGTGGAAATACGCTAGCGTCGGACCAAAGCCAGCGGAGAAGCAGGAGCTCCGGCACAAACTCGTCTGCGTACGCTCTATACCAGTCGTTCACCTGGCGATCTGGACATGCAGCCTTTCCAGCCTTACATGATGGTGAGTACAGCAGCGATTTCCACTTCCGTAAATCCGAACAACTTCTTTTTTAATCTCCTCCCATAGCTCCCCAGCTATGGTCGCAGTAGTTCCATTTTGTTTGTGGTGTCCGTGTAGCTCATGAATGAGTTCGCGTGTTCTAAGGTGGACTCGGCCGGCGGGAAAGGCAGGAACTGGAAATAGCTTCTTGATGTGGATAGATTTATCGGGTTGTTGTAGTCGGATTTTAACGCCACCATGGTCCGCTCTGGCTCCGGAGTCTATAACGGTTATGTCCTCAGCCCAGAAATGAAGTTCAGCATTGACGTACCAGCGATCAAGTCGAGAGGAAGCCTCTCCATGGCCAGGAACAGCGTAGCGGTATATGTGCGTGTCTTGATGATGCCTTCGCAGTTACCCCGCTGCCCATGTGCCGGGCCAGGCCTCTTCGATTGGGTCAATAAGTCCCCATGTGTCCAAGAGAATCCGCAGAGAATCATGATTCGCACTCTTTGGCCTGTAGCTTCGATTTACTTCGTCATCAAGGGTGCAATTGAAGTCCCCACCAACCGCCAGGAGAACGTCTGGGGGGAATTCCAAGTCCGCTAGCTCTCGGAAGAAAGCTTTCTGCGCTGGAGCTTTGTGAGGGGCATAAATATTAACCGCTATTATGACGCGGCCGTGGAGTTGTCCGGTCACTGCCATGAAGTGAGAATTCCACCTGGACTCAAACATTGAGTGAGTATCGCCAAGGTCTCCGTACGGGTTAACAAGAACTCCGACGCCAGTCTTCTTACCAACCACCGGTAACCAGTAGGATAAAAATGGGCAGCTTGGTCCTACGCGGAAGCCCCATCCAGCGTCATGCAGATTGCGATAAAAGTCAAAATCCGAGTCCTCAACGTGGTTTCTTGTAAGTGGACAAGCGTAGCCTGCCCATGTTCGTCACTCTGTCTCAGAGATCGAAACCACGCATCTCGATCTGTAGTCGAGGCTCCGAGGCCCTTCACATTCTGGGTTAGCAGACCAGTGAACTGAGTGTCGACTCTTGCATCTCTCGTCTCACTGAGAAGTGGTAATCCTTGTTGTCCCTCCTGGCTATTGATTGAAGTGGGTCTCTGCCTCCGTTTACCAGCGGGAGAGGGCCAGGGGAAATTTCCGTGTTTCCACCCATTCCCAGGTCAGGCCTGACTTCAGTATGGTGGCATCACTCCAGTTACCTGTCGGGATATCTTGACACAGTTGTCGAACGGTAGGGTACGTATTGTACCATAAGAGCAGAGACCCCGTCGGGACACAGCCCATAGTGGTGGAACCCCACTGACGGAGTGCAAACGGTAGTGTATGGAGAACTGGCCATTCTGTATCGGGAATATGTTCAGGTTGTACCCTCAAATAGGACTCGTCTACCCACTAAGTAAGTGAGCTCCATAGTTCCTTGGAGGCTACCCCAGCGAGTTGACTGTCGTCATCAAGATCCGTAAGGCGTTATAGCCAGGCTGCACAGTACTGTTGAGCCGATGGGGGTATCGTGGAGTTATGTTCTAGTCTTTGTGTCACTTCCCACTGAGCTCGTCAAGCCTCGCGTGTACCTCAGTTTACTAACTGGTCCACAGTAAATTGCTTGACAGTAACTTCTGGATAAAGTAGAAAAGCGAAAAGTTGGCGTATCGGTTCTGTCGCGCTCCCCGCAGCTTGATGGACTTGGGCATTAACCGTCAATCCGGGATGAGGATGCTTGGTAGAGAGTATTGTACGCGTTCTGCTCGATACCAGGTCACCAGGGCCTTCTTGTTCAACTCTTGCACCGTTTGTAGTTTTCTGGAAAGCGCGTGCGAAAGGTCCGTGGGAGCTGCAGCCTGGAGAATGGCCTGATATGAGGCTTCCGATATTCTGCATTTGGGCAGAAGCGGGTGCCTGTGAAGCGCCGGGCATGGTAAGGTTAGGTCCGTGTGACGTAGTCCTGATGAGTAGTCATCATCCCCTGCCTTCGCATAAATTTGTCGCTCCGCTTCGGTCATTAGCGATTCCATGATATCTTATTGTTGGTATTCAACTGCGTCCAAGATAGGCCATCCTAGGCGCATGTGTACAACAAGTTCTAGACGTCGGCGCATGGTGAGGGCACCATGGAGGATCCCATTGACAACATCAGTATCGTCCCGAAGATTGATTAGGGTACCCCGGACTTTTACAGTGAAACTTACCTCTACTGGGAGATACGTTCCAGCAGTAACTACTTCGGTGTCTTCCGGAGGGCTGAGCAAATCTGACATCCACTCGAATTGGCTTTCGGGATCTGCCGCGTAGGACGGATCGCCTTCTGCAGGCCATCTCAGGTACAAGTCACCGTGATGAACCCCGTAAAATGGCTCTCATGGTGTTTGAGAACCATAACGGTAGGTACCACATGGAGCCTTCCACACGCCTGAAGGTATTCCGACGCAGCTTCGTCAGTCAAGTGGGGTACTTTCCGTTATCATGCGTGTCCGGCATTCCATTCCCTGGGTGGTGAAGGTTGAAATCAGTGTAGCTGTATATCTACAGATTCCTGTCGTCATGTTCGTCCATGTCGACGGCAACTAGAGGGTACTGAAGATACTGAGCATATGCGCGCAGAATTTGAGGGCCAACCCGATGTTATAACGCAATACTAGGATCCACAGACCGCTTTAAGCAGTAGATCCATACACAAACCCGCCAGCACCGCTACCGACGACGTAGATGGGTGGCTTCCCGGGTGCCGTTTCGAGACTTCCTCCACTGGGTTAACCAGTCCTAGTACACTATCAGCTTGGAGATTTTCCACAATTAAGGCATAGATCCCCTTCCTGTGGTAGTTAGCATCCGCGAGCTCATCAACCGAGGGCGCCAATGGTGCATGTTGGTCATTGGATACAGATGTATACCACGCCAGAATGGCACATTGACCAGACCCTGGAACCCGTACAAGTTTTCCTTAGAACCATGCCAGCCGGTGCATTGCTTGCATTGGGTGGGGGCGGCGCTCCCTGTCTAGCGTAAATAGGACCGCCCGATGAGGAAGTTTGACTGACCGTCGGTACTGGGGAGTTATATCGTTGGGCGAGTTCGGTAGATGGAAATTCGACCGCGTTTGATGCAAGTGAACAGGGAATCTCAGACCCTGGTGTTGGTGTTGGTGATGGCGTAGGTGTAGGAGCCGATGAACCTACATAACTGGAGCGCGAAGACGGAAGGGGATCAGTTTCCATCCCTGCCTCTGCTGCCTGTAGAGGTGCAGGTTTACTCGGTTGATCTCCATTCTCGCGAGTAGCGTCATCGTCTTCGACTACACTCCGACGCATTGCTCGCATTGCTGTACGTTGACGTTTAGCCATAGATACATCGGGTGCAGGGACCGGTGACCTGCCAACATCCACATTGTCCTCCATGGACGCATTGTCCTCCATGTACGCGTCCTTGTCAGAACTTAAATCCGCATCTGTTTCCGGGAAGGCGTACCCGCATCATCCGTGACGTCTACCTCTGTCCCTGAGTTTGTCGTGTCCATCTGAGCGGAATCCGATTCGTCTTCCTCAGAGTCGCTGTCATCCATCAATGCTTGAAATCGGCCAAATTCGCGTGCTTGCTGAAAGCGTTTAAGATTAGCCTTGGAATTCCTAGAGGCCGTACTATCCTTGACCTTCCCACCTCGTCTAGATGATTTCTTGTCAGTGCGAATGTGATTAGCGGGCGACGTTGGATTAGTCTGGCCCTTCGGACTAATTCGCGTAGTAGTTGGCTTCTGGGAAACCTTCCAAGGAGTTTGAGTAGCAGCTTTGGATGTTCTCCGCAGTACAACGGTCATCCTATTGTCGGTGGGCGGCGCCCCAGTGGTCTGGTGTTCTGGAGATCCACAGAGGAGTGCTCGTGGAACTAGTCAGTTATGACGACGGAAGTAGATGTGTTGACGACGGTGAAACCAGGGAAAAACCTGGATCCGAAGTAGCTGGCTCCAGTTCTCGGAGTAGGGTTTGCCCAAACGTTGAAAGTGTCATCTATGTGGCAATAAAGTGCTGCTTGGCCAACGTCGAACTTCTGGTGCGCTCCCGTTAAGACACCACTGTCTCTAGTGCGAGCAGCCTCCAGGTGAACTGGAGATACTTTGCAAAATCCGGTTGTGTGCTTGGCACTGTAGCATCTGGCACAAGGCCGTCGTTGGAATAGGAGGTAATGATGCAAGGTGAGTTGGTGACCACCGAATGTCACCTTAGTGACACCCCGAAGCTCCGTGGGACATTGTTGCTGTTGAAATCACAGCAAACAGTGGCGAGTGTCTTGAGCGCAGATGGGGCTGGGTGTTGCCCTTTCAGCATCAAGTACCGGGACCCTGGTCACTCGCGTTAGTGCATTCACCAAATTAGTAAGGCCGATGTCCGATGCCCCGAAGATTCGAACTGAGTAAAATCGTCGGAGTTGTGCATCGGTATATACTCCGTCTTCAACCGTATTAGAGTCTTAAAGTTTGATTAGCACACGTTGGAGGCGTAGATTCGCTCCTTGATATAGCTTAGCGATCCGTTTAGAGTGGAAAACAAAGATCAAGGTATGCTGGCCGTCAACGGAGAGGGACTTCACGTCTTGCATCATCGTATCGATCATCTCACGTCCGTGGAGGACGTCACAGTTTGTCTTGAAGGGTTCTTCGAACAACACCAGGTGACGCATAGTCTTGCACAGGGGCACACGTGATGGGACTTTGGCAGTGAGAGACACCTCTAAATGTTTTTCATGATATTTCTTCATGATAACTCGCTCCACTACCGACATAGTGGTCTTTAAGTGGAGGATGGTGGATTTTGATCTCCTTGCGCAAGTTGGCCATAAGCACCTGAGTTTCCTGCGGAGTCCGATCGCGCAGCGTAGAATCTGCATGAACACGGAACGGCAGTAAGAACGCTCTTTCATAACTGTACGAGGGAGTCTAATAGCTCGATGGGGTTCTGGGGACCTCAATCCCTTGCACGTGTCGATTCCATCCTTGCTAGATCAGCTGGAGGCCAGTTAGGATGTAGTTTTGGGAGCGTCGGGAGACCAGCACTAGATCGGATAGAGTCGCGCCGCACGGTACGAACGGCAGCCGCATACGTGCACTCCGGTTCAGGTCATCGTGGGGTAAGGTTGGAAGCCTCCTCTTCTTCCTTGGAACCAGTTGGATGCGCGTCCGATGTTGTCATCACATCGCCATTGGGCCTTCAGACTAAGGGGAGTGCTTCCGTACCTGCGGCCGCGGTGGCCGACGAGGTAGTAGAACTGTTCCTGGTGGCCGTGTCGGTTGTCTCTGGGGGACGCCAGGATCGGGAGGGAGGCGCGGTTGCGGAGCCCCACCGGGGATTTCGTAGGGGGCATCACGGCTGCACTGAAGGCCTGTTGATGTAGGAAGAGAAGTTTGGGCTGAGATGGTGAGGCAAATCCACCTGAGTGTTCCGAGGGAATTTGTATATTGATATCACCCATCATTGACCAACAATCTAAATTCGACAAACAAATTCAGGCTCTCCCGTTAGAATATCGTCCGAAATACAAAAATAGAAGACAGAGTTAAAGTTTCGGCGTCTTCTACATTTACAGCACAATATTGTAAGGAAATTGAACACGCGAAGGAAACGATTCTAATAATCACCAACTGGTTGAGACCAACAATAATCGACTAATAGATAATATCCAATTACTCGAGGCTAAACATTTGGATAAAACAATTACAGAAGCAAAATCATCGTAAAGAAGTCGATCGTGCCAAGGTAGAGATTCAAAGTCTCCAAGAAACCAGTCAAATACTTATGGCTAGCACACCCAATTCATGGCAAAATATTGAATCACTTAAAGATGATTATGAAATCTGGTGAAGAAAAATCAAGAACGTCAGGTGGTCCTGTTTGCAATTGTGATGCTGCTGTTGGTGTATGCTGCGGAAGGTGCTATCGGCGTCGTTTTGTTTTTTTATCGATTACCGCTGTAGTAACTAGAGTGGGAAGAAGGGAGAAACTCGAAACTGCGAAACTTTATGGAATGCTCGGCCTTTTGCCCGGAGTCATGGTCGGGTCTTGTGTACTCTGTTTCCCAAGAATTCGTTTGTGTACTCAATGTTTTATCGCATTTTGTTTCAAACTTTGTGATACATTGAAATAGTTTCACACTTTTTGATACATTGAAATAGTCTAAACGATGAGTATCAGTACGAGTTAATAGTAATACAAGCATAGAAGTCAATCTAACTAACGCATGCGCTCCATTTAGCAACACGAGTCATATAGCGTAGGGTTTTGCTTTGAAGAAGGATATTG